TAGAATAGAATAGAATAGAATAGAATAGAATAGAATAGAATAGAATAATAGGAATTGGAGTGGAATGGAATAGAGTAAGGAATAAGAATTAAATGGAATTAGGATAGAATAGAAATAGAATAGAATAGAAAATATAGAATAGAATAGAATAATAAGAATTGGAGTGGAATGGAATAGAGTAAGGAATAAGAATTAAATGGAATTAGGATAGAATAGGAATAGAAATAGAATAGAACAGAAAAGAATAGAAAATATAGAAGAGAATAAAGAATAAGAATAGGAATTGGAATGGAATAGGGATGGGATAGAATAGAATAGGAGTAGAGTAGAATAGAGTAAAACAGAACAGAATAGAGCTGGAAGGGCCCTTGGAGATCTTCTAGTCCAGCCCCCTGCTCAAGCAGGAGAACCTATACTTTTTCAGATAAGTGCTTGTTTTGTCTCTTCTTAAAAACCTCCAACGATTGTTTATATTTTGTCCTTTTAGCCCAACATTAAAAAGGAAGAAAACCAGGCTGTTACTTAATTAACAGTGTACAGACAGTCCTCGACTTAACGACTACCGTTGAGCCCAGAATTTCTGTCGCTAAGCGAGAAATGTGTCGAGCAAATTTTCCCTCCATTTTGAGACTTTCCTTGCCGCCCTCAGTGCACTGTTCAGTGAATCTGGCTTCCCCGTGGATCTCAGTGACCATTAACAACAACGGTATCCCCGTGGCCACGTGGGCCAAATTCTTGGCAACGGGTTCATATTTATGATGGTCGCCGTGTGCCAGAGTCGTGGGCTCCTCTTTTCTGCGACCTTCTGGCGAGGAAAGTCCGGTTTATTTTACCAACCGTGTGACCCGCTTCACAACTGCACGTCATTTGCTTTCAACGACCGTGGCCAGAAAGATCGTTAAAAACGAGGCGAAACCCGCTTAACAACCATCTCGCTTAGCAACGGAAATGTTGGCCTCCATTTTGGCCGTAGGTCAAGGGCTAAAGAACATCCAGGGGTCCAAAATATATATATATATATATTCCAATCCGATGTAAAAACACGGAGCGAGAAACTCGGCCACACACTTAACCATTGTATCACCCCCACAGTGGCGGAAGCACCACAGCAACCTCCATGAGATCACGGGTGACGGCCGGCTGGGCTGCGTAAAGGAGCGGGGGAACCTGCGTGTCAAGCGCAAATGCCGGAAGTTGTCCCGGGGCCACAGCTGCGAGGAAGGTAAGCGGGGGTGGTGGTGTCTCGGGCTGGGTAGTGGCCGTTCCCGCTCTCATCCAAGGCTGTCCCAACCATCCCAGGATGCTCCTGGAAGAGGCTGTGCAGCAGCAGCCAAAAAAAGCCAACGCAATCCTAAACTGCGTTAACAGAGGGATCCAATGGAGATCAAGGGAGGTACTCTCCAAATACATTTTTATTAAGTTATAATTTATAAGTTAATTTATAAATTTATAAGTTATTTATTAAGTTTCGTACTATAAAATACAAAAGCAAATAAGAGGGCAAAGAAAAGGGAGGAAGGGTAGGGAAAAAAAGAAAGAAAAAGAAACATTGACTTCTGACTCTCTCTGTTACAGTAGAATAAGGCATTAAAAACAAATCATAACTTTTTTTTAAAAAAATTAAATTTTATTGAATAAACATTAAAAACAATTGAACACAGTGCAACTTTCTTGGCCATCATTTTGGCCATACAAGCTATAGTATAGAGATACACGTAACGGTTAATTTCCTTGTTCCCTTATGTATAGTGCTAGCTGCATGTTATTTCTATTTACATTTATATACATTTATATACATTATATACATATTTACAATTGTCTTTTATACTCATACATTAGTTTCATCTCATATTTGTCCATTATATTCCATTCTCTTTGGTTTACAAAACTTTTTGTTAGACCACAATAGTATGAACCAGTCATTTCTGCAAAATGTTATGAATCTAATCTGTGAAATCCCAAATCAAAGTTTCACTCTTTTCCACCACGAGCACGAAGTTCTGAAGCGGTTTCCATGGGGTAAGAAAAGTACTTAACGTTCTTTTCTTTAACCAAAGAAAAGACTGCCGTTTCAGTCCAACTCCCATCAACTACTGCAACCATTCTTCCAGCGTAGGCATTGAAGTGTCCTTCCATTTTTGCATATATACTAGTCTTGCTGCTGTCAACATATATAGTAACAAAGCTCCTAACTTTTTCTCCAATTCTTTTTTCCGTTAGACCCAAGAGGAAAAGTTCTGGTTTCATAATTTATCTCCCATTTTCAGGATTTTCTGTATTTTCAAAACGAATTTCTTATGGATTTTGGATGGGGCAGAAACGATTTTCCAGGTCCCAAAAGTGTAGTCCCTCTCCGATGGCTGTTTCTCAGTTTTATTTATATTTTATTTTTAATTCTTTCAGCTTACGTGGAGAAGAAAGCCAAGAACAATTTTAGAGACTTCATTCCCATCGTTCTCAGCAGCCGGACACGCAGCCAGTCAGGTTGGTGGCTGAGCCAGGAGATGATGCCTGGGTCAAGGGGTAAGGGAGCAGCGTGCCAATTATGGAGGAGGGGGAGAAGGGCAGGGTTATGATCTGGTCACCCTGACTTGGGGGTTGGTTGCAGACAACCGTTAGTAGGGCCTTGTTGGTCCCCAAGGTGCTATCCATGATCTCAATGACGATTCTCAAAACATTCAGATCGTGGTTGTCCCAAAGTTGCTTTTCCCAAAAGGCAACTGGACCTCCTTGGGTTTTTCTTCTCTCTCTTGAAAATGTCTCGCAAGAAGTGTGATGACCCCGGGGTGTGGCACAAAGGCAACACAGTCAGATAATCAGTAGGAGTCCCTTTATGAGAAAAACTCTCCCAGGAACAGCCTTTGGCTGCAGAGATTCAAGTCCAAAACATGGTCAACAAAAACTGTAACTGTAAGTCCAATCAAGGCAAGATGAGGTAATTAATCCGGCAGGGCAGGAGCAAGAATTCCAGATGTGAAGACATGGCAATAACTCAACACGGTTGAGAAGATGCCAGGAACACAGATAACCAAAGTCAACACAAGATAATCTCATGTTTGCTCCCAGCAGCTGCCGCACTCAGCATGCAATCTCTTTAAACTCTCTTCCTAGCTGTGGCTAATGAAGGGAATCAGGGCCCTTTCCTCCCCCATAAGCCATGCAACCCACATTGCTCTCTCCTCTCTTCCTCCCTGCGTGCCTTAGGATGAAGAACCGGTGGGCCTGGGTCTTCCTCTGAACTCCCTCTCCCTTGTTCTACCTCTTCCCTGCTCTGCCCAGCCGGATGTTGCCCTTCCCCAGTTTCCTCCACAGCCAATGGGAGTATCCTCGGATTCAGACTCCAACAGGGGCGTGACAAGGTGCTTTAGTTCAGAACCGAAGAAGCTTCTTGAATGAGAAGCAAAACATTTTCAAAGGAAAAAAAACAAGGAAGTCTGGGTGCCCTTTGGGGGAAAAAAAGTGACTTTGGGACAACGATGATCTGGATGTTTGGAGAATTTCCATAGACATAGGGCAGGGTTTCATTGAGGGCCACATCAGGGTTGTGTTTGACCTGGGGGGGGGGGCCAGCATGGCATCACACATGTTGGGGGGGCCCACAGTGGTAGCCCAAGCACTCTGCCAGAGAAAACGGGGTTCCCGAGCTCCGTTTTCGTCTGCCGACAGCCTTTTGCGAGTCTCTGCCAGTGAAAAGAGGGCTGCGCACAGCCTTTGTGGGCTCCATTTTTGCTGCCAGAAAGCACCACAGGCCAGTCCTTCGCTGTTTCCACGGCAGCCCCACAGGCCAGATGTAGCCCCCGGGCCTTGAGTTTTGGCACCCCTGACATAGGGCCTCGTTTGCCAGGCAAAACAGCCAGGATCGGGACTTAACTTCGCCCTAAACCATGGCTTGCTTAAGCAGAGTTTGCTGAAGAAACTGCAGGAGTGGTGTTCATACTTTGCAAACTGCAGTCGATTATGTTCCCACAAGGCACTAAGCCCAAACCTCATTTACGGTCTGAGGATGATGTATGAGCCAGAGAAATGACTTTGATTGGAGGAGCGTTCGTTCTTAACTGGAGCATGTTGGCTTTGGAACTGTACATTCCTTCCACAGGTTGGCATTCAAATGAACCATACGGAGGACCTGGTTCTGCCTGGGGGACCCAAAGTGGGATGGAGCCCATTAAACAGCTTGTGTGATGTGTTGTCACCGGGGTGGAGGATTAGGGGCTATTATATTATTTGATTAATTTTCTTCTGTTAGTTTTATTTTTTTATACGTGATGTTTTTATATTCCTGTAAGCCTCTTTGAGTCGCCATGTGCGAATAGGCACCAATATAAAATTTCTAAATAAATACACTGTTATTCCCCACCCCCCAAAGATTTTAGTCAATTTTGTGCATTTGGGAAAGATGAGGATACCAAATAGAATATTTGTAGCTCAGGATTGAACTATGAAATCCTTGGTACTGTTGTCAGCTGGGTTGTTTCCTTGCAGACGCTTCACGACCCGACTAGGGAACCTCATCAATCCTAGAAGAGAAGTGGGGTTTACAAAGGAGGAGGAGGAGGAGGAGGAGAACTGTGGGGTCCTTGGTACTCGGTGAGCTGGGTTGCTTCCTTGCAGACATTTCATGACCCGACTAGATAACATCATCAGTGCTAGAAGGATGTGGGGTTTCTTCTCTGGCAGGGCAAGGCGCTTGTGTCTAAACAGAAAGCAAACCCCTTCCCCTTCGAACACTGATGATGCCAGCTAGTTGGGTAATGAAACGTCTCCAAGGAAACAAACTAAGCTCAGAGAGCACCAGCAGTGATGGGTTTAGCCAAATAAAGCCATCCCAGAGTAGAGCAGGGTCAAAGCTCAGGTCCTCGTGGTAGTTTGTGTTTCCTATTTGACGGGAGGGGGTCTTTCCTTTTTTCCCCCCCGCCTCTCCCTCCTGCAGGGACCACAGGGGTCTCTTCCAGCATGTTAGGAGAATGTGACGGAGCCGGGCAGGAAACGGTGCCGCTGTTAGAGGAGGCGAACGAAGCCCAGGAACTGTCCCCGAAGCATCACCGGCTACGCAAGTCCCACCGCCTCTCGCCTCACTCCGGCTGCAAGGAGCGTTCTCGGTCGGAAAGGGGCCTCTTCCACCACCCCATTAAGAATCAGGGACTTCTTTGGCAAGGAGAGGCCAACCGGCCTCCGTGGAGCCGCAAGGAAGCCGACGAGGAGACCAGCCACGTCAAGAGGAAGAAAAGGAGGCGGCAGAAAAGCTGGAAGTACCAAAGCGGAGAATATCTGATCGAAAGGGACAAAGGGGAACACTTGAGCTGCTGCCGCCATAAGCGGAGGAAATCCAAAGCAGGTGAGAAAGGATAGGCCTCGGGGTTGGTGGGGGGAAGGAGGGAGGAGGGATCTCGAGGTGGCCGCTTTTCGGCTGGATTGCAGCTCCCATCATCCCCGGGCTTCCAGCCTCCTGGTCCGGCTGGAATAAGAGGATCAGGCCAAGGACAAACAGTCGCTCGCTGTGAGGGAAGCACAAACAAGAGAGATTCTCCTGGTCAGCTTGGGAACAAACAAACACACACACACACCATCAGTTTCCTGTATTGGCTAAGCTGTGCCAGAGATTGCAAAGGCCTCAGGGCCTCAGCGATGCCCACCCCAGTTCCCTTTGCAGAACCTCTCTGGAGGTCTCAACAGCCACCAAGGGTTGGCCGTAGCCCCCTCCTCCTTCCCTTCCTCCCCCACTTCCCTCCAAATTGGAGCATTTCATCCTGTCTCGACCTGCTTCATGCCATTGAAAAGTAGCAGCAGCCAGCCATGCTTTTAAAAAGTTGAAAAAGAGTCCCCGTTTCTCTCTCTCTCTTTCATTCTCTCTCTCTTTCTAATTCTTTGTCTTTCTAATTCTCTCTTTCTCATTCTCTCTCATTCTTTCTCATTCTCTCTTTCTCATTCTCTTTCATTCTTTCTCATTCTCTCATTCTCTTTCTCATT